ATATATTATATATATATATATATATATATATATATATATATATATATATATATATGTTAATTGAGTTTACAAAAGGGTATCTTCTAGTCGAGCAGTCCTACAACTTTATTTGGTAAATTTTATACGTTTTGTTGTTTGTTAGTTTCTTATGCACATATTTTCTATCTAGTTAGGCAATTTGCCATTCACTGCACACGACGCTAAAGACTAAAACAAAACAAAAAAAACAAAAAAATAATAATAAATGAATAAAAAACGATTCGAACGGAACCGATCCCCACAAATAACCCATAGCCCCAACAGCCAATGGCGCATTTCATTTTCCAATTGCATTTCATTTTATTTTTTCACCTCCATTTTTAATGTTCGTTTATTTCTTAGTTGTGTGCTGTTAATGGGGCATTTGCATTTTTTTAAACTATTTACCGGGTTACTCTAAAATTTCTTCATTATATTTTAAGATGCATATGAAAAAAATAAAATAAAACAATTTCTATAAACGTGCTCAACTTAAATATTAAATAGCTTTTTATTTAATTTAAGAGAGGTATTGATGACTTGAAAAATGTTTCATGTCGATGGCTCTGATAGATCTCAAGATTCATAATGATTCATTCATCCAATCATTTAGTATAAAGAGGCTTCTGCCTCCTATAACTCGAATCAGAACTGATTCCTAAGTATCTTATATGTTCGATCTACCATGTATTGCCAGGTTATAATAGGTTTTCTTTCTGTAGTTTTCAAATTTTCCACACGTTTATGTTCAATGCGTGCCAGTCAAAAAACTAATTGTACATTTTTCAATACTCAATTAATCTTTACTGCAACGCCCTACAAAACGTACAATGTACGAAGCGCAAAGTGAGAAGAAATACATCAACAAAAAACGCAACTTTCACTTAGACATATTGCAGATATTTACACGTGTGTATAATATACTATGTATATACATATACTTATGTATATCCATATTCATGCAAAAGGTAGCTCTGCAGGCTATCCAACAACAACATCGACAAAAATAATAAAATATAATAATTTGAATGTTGCTTGAGGATATCCCCATTGTTTTTCTTTTTCTTGCTGCTTTGTCTGTTTTTTTACGGTCTTATTGTTTTATATTAATGCCCACTTTGTTGTTTAGTCAAGTTCAGGTTTTGTTTGTTTTTTTCTTTCTCTATTTTTTTTAGTTTGCTTTTATTTTAATTTCGCTTTTCATTTCATATTATGGTAAGGCGACAACAAAAACTTGTGTCATATTTCTGTTGTTGTTGCCTTTCCGTTTGGAGTTTTTTTTTTTGTTTTCAATTAGCTTCTTTTTCTGAAATTCTTTCGGCTGTGTCTTCCACCTTTTCTATGTCGTCTATTTCCTGTCCAGAGAGAATTCAAGTCACTCGATAAGCAATCGCTTTCCACGTGCTCAATTCTTTTGGGTCTCCACTCATTTCCATAGTTAATTATTCCCTCTCGATTGACATTCGTTCTTAAGTTTCTTGAAAAATTTAAAAAGTGAAAAGCTAACTAACTGAAAGCCCTAATGAAATGTAGCTTTGGTCGTGAACTTTATACAGAGAGGGTCTCTTGCAAACCTCTAGAGTTGGTTTTTGGATCAAGTGAATGTTTATGAAACAGATTCATGCTCCTCTAGATTAGTATGTCTTTAGTAGACTTCAATTGGATATTCAAAATAATGTTATTTTAAAAGTGGAGTCTTATAAGCTTTGCGCTTCCTTACTCAGCCTCTTTGAAGTTAACAGGCTGAAAAATAAAAAGCAAACGATGAAAATATGCATTAATTCACACTCAATTAACGTGAACTATGCAACTTTTCGTATTTAGCTTATTTTCTTTTTTGTATAGCTGCACTTTGAGTGTGCTGAGACTTGCACATAACTGTAAACATTTCACCTGCTTGTTATTTGCGGACTTTCCCAGCGTACTTGTGACTGACTTGATTAAGATATAGTATGTACTATATAAAGAAAAGCTATAACAATGGGCGTTGTCTGCATTCCCACGCCCAAAATACACGTCTCTACGTAAATATATATATAGATATATAACATATATATGTATAAATATTTATTTAGTTGTTATTCGCGAAAATTTCTATTCAATTTGCGTTTCGTGTTTTCCCATCCCATAAAAATTGAACAATAAATAGAAAAACCAAACCAAAGTAGACAATAATGGAGCTTTAGTCAAGAGGCGGCATGATATGCTATACCCTGACATCCACTATAAGAGATAGTTCGATGACTTTGATTCTAGATGTGAATGAATTTTATGATGATAATATAATCTACGTAAAAATACACCATAACCTTATGGGATATATATATACATATATATAAGAATGAGAGAAGACTGTTATACAACATACATACATATATCCTATAGATGACTGATTATTTCATTCGAGTTAAAAATAAGCTTTACCACGTCTTCTGTTACATCCATTAGCAAGAATACAATTTACCCCTCTTGACCATATTGCGTTTGGCGCTTTAACAGAACATTGTTATTTGAACTATTTTCATTTCTATCATTAATTATAAAAATGTAATACATACATACATTTTTATGTGATATCCAAGTAGACATTTTTTGTTCAAGTACAATTACAGTTAAAATTGCAAAACTGCCTCCCAAAAAGAAAATCAACTTTACAATTACTCTTATTACTGCTCTATAAAAAACTCTTCCATCCTGCCCCCCTTTTATCTCAACTTGCTGACAAATATGGACCACAATTTCTGTTGCTGCTGTTTTGTTTCACTTTTTTTTCACTTTTTGTTCACTTGGATTTTCTCCATAGATATTTTTAATTTGCGCATTTTGTTGTCTGCTCTGTCGGCGTCTCGGGTATTATCATTATTTGTACTTCCTTTATTGCCTCAGTGCTCCATTGATTTTTAGTTCCCCTCTATTGTAAATCGAAAAAAAAGTCCAAGTTTAATTAGTGTTATTACAAAGAAATACAATTTTCGCAGTGCACTTTGTTTGCCTTTGGCATTAGCCTCGATTCAACTGGGGCAGGTCTGAAAGCTCTTTTGGGCTTGTCTCGATAGAAGCTTCTCTCGCCATTGTTGCTAATGATTTCGATAATTATAATGATGATGATGATGTTGATGATTTTGATGAGTTCAATGGTCTGTGCTAAGTCACTTAGAGTATTTAACGTTTCCTTAACAACTGTAGTTGAAATGGAACTTCGACTTGTAAAAGGATATAATCATATTTACATATAAAGGAATTTCGCTGTTAATAACATTTTGATCTTGACAGCTTAAACAGAATAGCTACGAAAGCTATTTACAAACTTAATTTAGTACACATTGATGTAACGATGAACCCAATTTCTTATGTTTTCGATTAGCCAATTACAAGGTGCGCCACCAAGAAAATTTAGTTACAGTTAGCTGTAATGACAAACGTAATATATTAAATAATATTCATCACTCATTCATGCACATGTAAATAATTAATATCGAAAATATGTATATGTGCAAAGTGAGTGGATAGGGGCAAAGGAAATGCCGCGTGGAACATGGTGACAACTATAAAGATTACCTGCGATGGCGTCTTCATCCAATCCAACTCGTATCTCACGCCTACGCAAACGAACGGCGCCACAGCGGCAACTGTTGCAGCTTCAGCAACAGCAGCAGCAGCAGCATCTGTTGCTACCGCCAAGGGACACAGTTTGAGCAACGAAAGCGACAACTCGCAGACAAGCAGCGGTAGCCAAACCACCAGAGCCACCCACCAGAGCAACAGCACTCACAGTGCCAAGTCCAAATCCACGCGCTCCAATTGCACTCGACATCATCGAGGTGGGGGCGTGGTAGCCACGCAGGATACTCGCAGGCGTTACTATTACTTTGGCAGCAAGGATGTCTATTGGTGCAAGCAGAGCTTGACGCGCAGCACCAGCAGTCTGGGCCACCGCGAAGCCCATAGCACCACCACCTCAACCACCGTCAGTAGCGGTGGCCAGCTAATTGCCAAGGCGCGCCGCCGCCCGCTGCAGCTGTGCAGTAGCCTGAGCGCCGCTTATGCACCGCCAAAACGCAAGGAGTTCTACTTTTGTGATAAATATGCATCCGCTGCCTCCGTCAACTCCAGCAGCAATAGCAACAGCATCAGCAGAGGCAACCACACGGCGGCAGCAGCAACAGCAACTAAAGCAGGAGCGCAGCCAATCGATGTGCGTTTGCTGAACTTTCTGCGTAACGCACAGCGCAGATTTCAATCAGCAACGACTACAGCTGCAGCAACAACCACAACAACAACTAAGCCAAAGTCTGAAATCAACAGCAGAAGCAACACCAAAGAACGTGCCTCAGCAAGGAACTGGAGCCCCAACAATAATAAAACCAGTAACAATGACAACAACAACAGCAACAGCAGTTCCCTGCCGCTAATAATCAGCACCGATGATTGGTTTGGTTAGTATAGTAACTATAGGTTATTATAATGATTA